ATGTATTTTGGAAGTTAAGGAATAATAGAGATTACAGTTGCTGGGTTTATTTTAAAGTTGTTATTCAGGGTAGTGGGTTTGTAAAGTTGTAGAAAGTTGCCTAATCTGAATAACAAAGGCTTTATAATATGTTTAGCTATTTCTCTAAATAAAAAGTCATTTAAAAATAATAAACAAAATGCCCTAACGGTTTGGCTCAATGGATAGAGTGTCGGCCTGCGGACTGAAAGGTCCCAGGTTCGATTCCGGTCAAGGGCATGTACCTTGGTTGTGGGCACATCCCCAGTGGAGGGTGTGCAAGAGGCAGCTGAAATCAATAAAATGTATTTTAAAAAAATAAAAATAAAATAAAAAATAATAATAAACAAAAGACACAGAAGGCCCAGTAATTTTGCAGATACTGTTAAAATTTTTGTTGTATATCCTGCTAGCATGCTTTCTAGGTACATTTGCTTTTTACCAAGAGATTTTTAATTTCTAAAAATGTTTCACAGCCCTAATACTTTAACATGGTTATAGAGATGCCTAAAGAGACATCAGTAACACTTTTTAAATTTTATTTTTTAAATATGCCTGTAAAGAGACAAAAGTCACTATCCAGTGTATCTATTACAAAATATTATTTGGTAATAATTTCCAAACGCAATATTTGCTAAAACATGTCAAGATGTGGAGAATAAAAGTAAATATTTACTGAGTGCTTACTATGTTTCCGGTACTGTTCTAAGCCCTTTAATGTCACAACATATTTAAGTCTTTAAAAATCCATGTGTCTTAAGTACTACTATTCCCATTTAACAGATGGGAAAAGTGAGGCAGTGAGAGGTTAACTTCATCACCCAGTGCCGCTCAGCTGGTAAAGAGCAGAGTCGGGATTGAAATCTAAGCAATCTGGCTCCAGAACTCATGTCCTACACCACCACTTCTCGAAATTTAATGATAAAATGCTGATCCTGACTCAGTAGGTCTGGAGTGGGGCCTGGGGCTCAGAAACTAACAGGCCCAAGTGATGGGAGAATGCTGTTCCAGAGCACTCTGTACAGAGTAGCAAAGGTCTGTACCGCACCACATTGCACCATGCACCTCAGTAACAAAACCAGCTTCCTAGTCACCTTCAGTAAGGACTAGCCCTCCATTCACTTCCTGTCCCCTGCAGCAGGTTACCTGGATGACTGAGCACAGACTACAAGACCTTTACCTTTCATAGTGATATCTTTTGAACTGAACTTTTTGTTGAATCAAATGTCAAGATTTCCCCCTTTAAGTCACTGGATATTATAAAAACTAGTTTTTCAATAAGTTAGGTTTCTGTATACAGATTCTATTTGATCAGATTATACACTGGCTGTTGGCCAAAATACACATACATATCTCCCAAATCGAAACTTCCAAGTTACAAAGGCTACATTCAGTCACCAAGCATCCATTTCCACCCTTGGGGGAAGTTATGGTCTAAGACAGAGTACAGGCATTCCTCGGAGGTATGTTGATTTGGTTCCAGACCACCACAAAGTGAGTATCTCAGTAAAGCAGGTCATAATTTTTTTTGCTGGCAAAAGATCTTGCCTTCAGTTTGTAAAAAAACACATCTGTGAAACATAGTAAAGCGAAGGTAAAAATTGAGGTATGCCTGTACCTGACATCCCAACCTTACTTAGCCCTCAAGGCCAACATTTCTGTTCTCGGGAGTTCCCTCTATTGTCTGTGTGTATGATAGCAGTGCAGGCGTGTGAGTGATCTCCACATTTTTGTGCCGGAAAGGGAGAGTTGTTTGATAATACTAACATTTCATTTATTTTAAGAGGCCTAGTTTTTAAGTTGTCAGACTTAAAAAGTTGTTCTTATCAGTGAGCTTATAGTTTATTTCCTAATTCAGTGTATGGCACCTTGGGGATACCTTCGAAGGAATTTGATTATTTGAAAAGAAAAGGTCCTATGGTCTGGTGTAAATTTCACCAGTAAAATAACCCAAAAGCAAAAATCCAAGGTGATTACCTCATAAGGGCACAGCAATGAACTCAGGAAGGCCTTGTTGGCCATTTAATTTTTCCAGCAAATAAGCTGAGTCTCGTCCATGGTTCAAGAACTTGGTGATAAAATCAAAGACGAGGTTTATTGGTCATTTTTTATTCTCCTTAAATGAAAATCTTCCTCCTCCAATAATAATGTAGCTGAATACTAATTTATAGAAACAATAGCTTCTCCCAGCCCCTGAACTTGAAAGCATCCAATAAAGTAGGAAGAGAGAGTTTGCCTTTTAGGAGCTGGCCTTTAGATAACAACACTGTCCCTTTCATTTCTGTGTGGCTTTGGAGATTACAAGGCACTTTCATTGGATGCCCTGGATAAATCTGGACCCCCATAAGGACAAATATACAGTCTCCATTTTTAAAATGTCAATGGACTCAAGAGTGGCTTCCGGTTCCTCTGTCTAAAACAGCGATGAATGCAGACACTTGAATGTTGTCATCCACGCTGTGCGCAATGACATAGAGATTATAAAAGTGTGACTCTCAAGGACAAAGTTTTCCACTCTGCTTTAGACCAGGGCTTCTCAAATTTTAAACTGGGGATCTTGTTACATTGCAGATGCGGATATATTAGGTCTGGAGCAGGGCACACAATTCTGCATTTCCAACAAGCTTCCAGGTGATGGCGATGCTGCTGTTCTGTGGAGCATATTTTGAGTAGCAAGGTTTTCAGACTTTACCATGTAGCAGAATCCCCTGGATGACTTCTTAAAGCGCAGATTGCTGGGCCCCACCTTCAGTTTCCTATTCAGTAGGTCTGGGGTAGACCCAAGAATTGCATCTCTAACAAGTATTTGTCAAATGATTTGGCTTACTTACTATGAAACATTCATTCTCACGAGATGAATACAAAAGGCAGTGTTGGTCTCCGTTCTCTTTGAAGGAATCCATAACTTCTGCCTAACTGCCAATAGTTTATTTCTGCTGAATTCTTTGGAGACCATAACAGTATTTCTAATAAATTAAAGTTGGCTGGAACAGAAACATATATAAGACATATGAAATATTCAGCAGAGCTATGGCCTTTAATCTTTAATCTCCTCCTAAATAAACAACTGCAATTATGAGTAAAGCAGTATCTTTATTTTTCATTCATTGATTCATTTATTTAAAGAAAAAATTTTTCTTATTTTAACATAACATTTAGATGGTTTTTAGTTACAGGATTTTGTCATTAGCAATATATCTATTGATTATATGTGAGCAGGAAAATGTGTATTTATTAATTCACTTATTTATTCAATACAATTTTTTAATACAACTGAGTGTCAGTCACCATGCTGGGCACTATGAACATATATTAGAAGAAAAATTGGATGTTCTCATAGACCTTACAGTCTGGAGGGAGAGACTGACATTAATACAAATTCACACATATTTATATAAACTACAACTGTCACTAATGTTTCAACAAAGTGAGACCGTGTGAATGCTGATTATTTCTTTAGATTGTGACATGGCTCATGCTGTGTAAAGAATCAGTTGGCTCCATGTTCCAATTGGCTCCAGTTACTGCTGGAGGAACATGCTGGGTACTAATTGCAATAAAAGCCAGAATCATTTTACTTGGTAAATCAAGAAGCTTCAAATGCTGAATTCAAGAGATGGATTTATTTATCTGCTTAAAGCTGTCTTTTGCTTCTAACTCCTCCTGATAGGCTTCAAAACATAAAAGTTGTGCTATATTTTATTCGGAAAATGTTCAAACATACACAAACATGGAAAGAATTGTATACTGAACACCAAATAGCAATTGCCTGGATTCTATACTTAAAATTTAAATGCATTTGTTTATCACATATATATTCATCTACCCATCCCTCTATCCACTCATTATTTCATGGGTTTTTGTTGTTGTTGTTAATCCTCACCCAAGGATATTTTTTCCATTGATTTTTAGAGAGAGTGGAAGGGAGGGGGAGAGATAGAGAGCAAGAAACATCCATGTGAAAGAGATATATCGATTGGTTGCCTCCCACATGCGCCCTGACCCGGGCCAGGGATTGAGTCTGCAACCCAGGTATTGCCCTTGACCAAAATCAAACCCGAGACCCTTCAGTCCCCAGGCCCACACTCTAACCACTGAGCCAAACTGGCTAGGGCTATTTCATTTTATATTGATGCATTTCAAAGAAAGTTGCAAATACTGGCATATTTCATCCCTAAACACTTCAGAATGAATGTATCAGGATATAGTTTTCAGAAATGAACCAAATCTCTTAGAAATTTGGGGCAGATATATTATCTTATTTTATTCAGCTAATAGAAATTGAAGGGACAAATTATATATGTCTTTGAAGAAGCTCTTTCTTGAGGGAAAGACAAAGAGAAAGACAAAGCCAAAAGACAAAGCCACACTCACTTCTCACACTTGTTCCAATAGACTAGATTTCTGCATGATGAAACCCAGAAAAACTGGTGGCCTTGCCCCTTACCCATCTGATGTCCAAATAGAGATGCTGTTATCCTAACCACTACATGGAGGGACTACAGTTTTTAGATGACTTTGGCAAGGACAGCATGACCCAGCATCTCCAACAACCCAGTCACACATTTGGTATTTGCAAGACCCTTTACTTACCATACTAACCACTCAATTAAGTTCCGTACATTTTAGTGTTCTATAGTGCTGTAAAGTTTTGTTTTGATTTTATTGAATTTATTGGGGTAAAATTGGTTAACAAATTATGCAGGTTCTAAGTATACACTTCTACAATATTTTGATTTTATTGAATTTATTGGGGTAAAATTGGTTAACAAATTATGCAGGTTCTAGGTATACACTTCTACAATATATCATCTTTTATTGTATTGTGTGCTTATTTTTTTATTGATCATCACATTCAATTTTCAAAGGGCGGATTGTAGAACTTATTCAATTAGCATATCAAATAGCATCTCTTCCTCTGTAAAACTTGTGAAAATGGCCTTTCCAGTTATCCTTTTATTATTACACTTACAACATATTTTAAAGTCACTTCTGTTCAATTTTTAAATAGGAATAATATAAATATTACTTTAAAATAAAATTTTGGTTTAAAAAAGTCTACTTGTGAAGAAAAATGTTGTAATACTTTCAGTTGGCCACTAGAGGGCAAGAGCCCACTTCTGCTGTAGTTAATTTTGCACATTTTTCTCTACTTGTCTAAGCCAAATTCAGTGCAACTGAAATACTAGCTTCTGAACTTTCTTTCCTTGAAATTTGTTTACTTGGATCCTAAGAGTCTCTCCATTAAATTGATAAAGTTGACATTTCTAGTTCTTTGGTTTCTGTCATAATTTCCAGTGTTATGTGAAAGGATTCC